CTCTTTGCCAAATCTCCACTGAGAACATCAGTTTTTAGTGTGTTTGTAAGCGTACCAGCTCAGCCCAAAACTGGTGAGCGGGCATGTATGTCCTGCTCAAAAGATTCAGAAGGATAAAGCTTTTCAGGCCGACTCGGAGAGCAAATCGCGTTCCCAGCCAGCTGAAGAGTAGCAGCATTACCTAGGAGTGGACGGGTCCTAAGTTTACATCGTGCAAATTTCAGTTTCAAAATTCTTACTCTTTGAGGATCGCATTCATGAAAAGTTCCAAGTCCTGATTTTCTCCTAATGAAACTCTTCGCATGCAGAAGGCTCCTGGGGAGCAGAAAAAATTCAAAATGGTGCATGGAGGAAAAGTCTTTCCCTGTTCCCTTTAGATACTCTTTACTGTGCCCTGCTGTACTTTTTCTGCCCAAGAAGGTAACTGAAATTACGAGGCGCATCCTGCTGTTTTCCCAAGATCTGTTTAATCGAGAGTGCTCCTTAATACTCAGCTCTTCCCCTCTCTTCTTTCTCTGCCTGTCTTCACCTACAGTTTTGCAATGTCATCATCTAAGATGCCCTTCTAGATCACTGACGTCTTCAGGTGTTCCTGGCAAAGCTGGCAGCAACCTATTGCTGTACTTAATTGTAGGAGGAACGGTCACTGGGACAGGAGCTTATGTAAGATGCTGAAAGCAGCGCGGTGTCCCTGGGGGCGGGGGGAGGCCGGGGGCCGTGCTGGGTGCCGCACCAGGTTAGCCACTGACTTTAACTGAACTGTCGTTGTGCTCCCCGGCCTCGGGTATTTAATTCCCAGGGACAGTGTCAAATAATGGAAGCTTACAAATGTTATACTCTCAAACAGTGTAGTTCTGAGTGGGAAAAATTGCCTTGGAATTAACTTTTCCGTGTGAAATCTAAAAGCAAAACTGGCCATCCTCGGTTTGTAACCATCAGAAAGGCACAAATTAATTCACGCATCTATTCTGATATCAGTCATGTTGGCATACCAAAAAAGGAAATCATCAACTAAATAGAAGTATGCCAGAGGAAGGAAAAGTTGTCTGACTTGGTGATTTCTTCAGAGCAGAGCACTGAAATACCACTCCGGTTATCGGGCAAAGTACACAGCTGTGCTTCTGACTAGGAAGAACTTGGCATTGTCCCCTTGGAAATATTTATCCTGAAGGCCTGATCTGGTATTTTGCATGTACAGAATCATCACTTCTGAGGGCTCAGATTTAGTTTGCTGTACGCTGGCCTTCGGACTTGCTTAAAAACTTCATGGTTCTGCTTGCGAAAGCAGAGGTGGTTTTGTTAACCTTGACTTTTACATGTTTAAGCAAAAGGCTTTAAAAATACCTGTATCTTAATCCTCTTCAACACTGACGAGTTCTTGTTTTCTGATACTTTTGCCATTGTTTCAGTTCCCTGGCCGTGCTTTTGTCTGCCTGTGCTCTTTTTTGTGCCTGGCATGAAATTCCTCGGTTCTCGTCTGAGACGATTTGCTGTGGTATAAAGCACCTAATTGTGGAGACTGGGGAAATGCAAAATGTCTAGGGAGTAAAAGAGATTTCAGTTCCCCGAAGGAATTAACTTCTGTTCAAACATAGTTTGGATGTCGTAACAGTCGCTTAGCTAACAGTGAGTGGTTTGGCACCAGCTGCAGCGTTACCTGTCGTGCCTTCACGTTTAGGAGGCGGCTGTTATTTCTTGCTGGAAATCTTCCAGTTTTAATGTTCTTTCACAATTCAAAATCCAGTGATGGGATAGAGCGTTGCGTTTCAGGCCGTCTCGGTAGGGTTTTTACCTTTTATAAACAGCGCAGAATGAAAGCTGGTGTCGTGCACACGTGGTCCGGATTATTTAGCAAGGCTAGGTTTTGCCTTAAAAAAATGGTTTGCTTCCCTCTAATTTGTTAACTGGGAGGGCAAATATCATACCGTGACCTGCTTCCAGCAGTCGCGTTGCCTTTTGCTTCTCCACATTACCGGTTTTTCTTGGAAGTTAACATGATGTCTGAGAAGATGTTCCCTCCTTGTCTGCACCGCTGAATCGTACCCCCAGAGCGTGCAGGCCTGGCTTACACTGTGCCCCGAGCTCAGCAGCCACACACGCCGCGGGTCAGCGCTGGGACGCGGGCATCGCTTCCAGCTGAAGGCTGTCACCTAGCCCAGCCCCGCTCCGTGTCTGAGGACACTGCCAGCATCACGCCTGTCACAGCTGGCCTGAAGAACGCCGGTCAATCAGGCTGTTGGCTTGTTCTGGCCGCCGCTCTGGGCTCCTGAAGCTGGGAGATGCCTTTTGCCTTGGATTTGTCCTCCTTTTCTGCAGCCGTGTGTGGTGCCCGTGCCACGGCCTAGTCTGCAGATAGCCTGGGGTCCGTTTGCCTGCATTTCCTTTGCTGTATCTGCTTCCTCTTGGAACACGTCCGCAGCCCAAAGGCCACACATCTGCAGAAAGGTTGGTTGCTTGCTTATGGGAAGCAACCAGACAAGTGAGATTTGTCACATCGTATGTAGAGCAGACCCTGTTCCCAGTGCACTCCTCTGTTAGCTATGCATACGTACCTTTACGGGCCCTTTTTTCAGTGAGGTATGTTTTGGTCTGCCTGCTTTAATTGAAAGCAGATGGCTTTTCTGAGCAAGCAGGACAGACAAAAGCCTGTCGGGGGGTCGAAGCAGAGTGGTGCCTTGCTGCTGTCGGATATAAATATCTCCTTGTCTGTCTCCAGGTATACAGAACATTGAGAGAAAAGAAAGAGCGATTCACCAGCCGAGTCACAACAATAACTGCGCGATCGCAAGGAAACGAGTCGTCTCCTTCCGGTGGGTACTGGCCAGCCAGTTCTCGGTTTGGCTCTGTTCTTCATAAGCTGCTCACTTGAGACCTCTGAGACGAGTGAACAGAGCCCTGCTGGACACGGAGATCAGCGTAGGCTGTGCCTGCACAGCACTGGTGCTTCTCAGCGCCTTCTGTTCGTGGTGAATTCCCGTGCCCTCCCAGCGTAGCAGACGGGGCTGGCTTCCCATGACCCGGAACAAGGCTCTCTTTTACAGATAATCGTGAGGATAAAGCAGGTTATCTCTCGGGGCTCCTTTCTGCCGTTTGTGCTTTCTGTGATGAAAGGAGGAAAGAGTTAGCCCTGCTTTTGGCCTTTACCCTTACGTGGGCTGGCAAAGACGCTGTGACTCCGAGGGATAATACGGCCTGCCAGCACAAACGCCTCCGCGCCGTGCCACGTCCCTGTGCCGCGCGTGGCGGGCTGGGCGTGCGAGAAGCAGCATGTAGAGGGAGGAGTCGGGACCATCAGTGAGGCTCTTGAAGGTGCTTTGCAGGCTGCCTGCGGACCGCAGGTTGCTCATTGAAGGTCTCTTAATTTATGAGCTCAGATAGTGTCTGAACTGTTGAGCCAAAGGACGACGTGTTTCCTAATAACAGTGGCTTTAGGTCACAGAAGATAGGGTGCGTTGTGTCCCTTTACTGGGACACCAGCAGAAAGAATATCCTGCAGGCAGGCCAGAAAAGTGGTGATTGCTTTGGTTTGAGGGAGAGGATAAAGTGTGTTTATCGTGGTTGAGGCTGGAGGACAGAGAGTGAGAGCCTAAACGCTGAAGCAGAGGTCTTGGTAAGTCTGCATTGCTGGAGGCTCTGTCCCTTTGCAGTGGAGAGCCCGTCAGTCCGGTGGTCTCCTCGGGTCAGCCCCGAGCTGCGGCTTGCTGGCCACACTATCCTGGGTAGCCTGTGCTTCGCTGAATTAAGTCAATGTCTTCTCTTTCAGATGCAGATGCTGCTTCTCAGGGCACAGCAGGTGAGTCTTGATGGTAATATTTAACTGTTTTATTCCTACAAACGGTTTAACTGCATGTTGCTTAGAAACAGGACCTGCATGTGGGAGGAGATGCATTCTGGTAGGAACTCAAAAGTTGGTCTCCTTGCAGAGTACAGCTATAGAAAAATACGCCTTGGCATTTTAGGGAACTCTTCTTTCTTATAAACTGTTCACTGAACGGCTGGTGCAGGGTTGCTCCCAAGTTGATTCGTGTTCTTAAAGCTAGATCAAACACTTTGCAGTTCATACTTTCCAAATAATTTTGAAAATTGCTTTCTGATTTGGATGACACCCAGGCCACATCTCTTCCCCTGGTGTTCTGAATGATCTGTAGGCGATGTCCCTCGTGCTGGCTCAGCAAACTGTCACTTACCTTCAAACCTGAATGCGGGATCTCTAGTGCGTCCTTTGGCCTGAGTAGAGGCCGAGCACGTTGTTGCTATGTCCTGATCTTATGTGAAGCTTCTGAAATCGCGTGTTGAATGCTGGAAATGAGCTTTGCGAGCCTCCGACTTTGCAGCCGCTTCGCCCCGCTGTGCAAATGTGAGCAGCGGTCTCCAACAGATCGGTTTATAAAACGAAGCGCTCTGGGAGTCTGCTGGACAGGCAGCACCCATTCAGGGTAAGGCCTGACACCTGTTTCCAGGCCGTCCAGGTGGTGGTGTTTCAAGCTTGTTACGTAGAACGGTCTGATTCTGAACATCTTAAAAGCAGAGAGAAGTAGATCTGTAACAGAGAAGCTAAAGCCGTGCGATAAAAGCTGTGCTAATGGTCTGTTCCAAAACTCTGCGATTACCGTTGAGCTCCGCTCTGCAGCTGTGGCTTGGGGGGAATAATTTGCTGAAACCTGACAGCCTGATTTATGCAGGGAGCCAGCTTTGAGTGAAGCAGCTGCATGGTTCTTGGGAAGCGTGTTGGGGTGGAAGGGGAGGGGAGGAGAGGGTGTCTGAAGGGCGATTTGCCGAGGGAGGTCTGTGCCTGAAAGGCGTCTGGTGACCAGCTCTGTGCTTCGGGGCTGGGCCGTTCTCCCTGCCGTCCTCGCAGTAAGCTGTCCAATGTGTCACCTGCAGCTCCGGGAGCTCGCCCCGAGGTCCCGTCTCACGTTCCTTTCCTGCTTTTTTTGGAGGAACTGCTGCTTTTGCTGCTGCCAGATCCATTCGGGCTCGTGACCCCGGTGCCCGGGTAAGAGGTGCCCTGTTCTGGTGGATGACGGAACACTGTGCTCGCGTCGGAGCCTCTGCTTTGCCATTTGCCTGGCATCAGTACAGCTGACGTGTTTAATGACCAATTAAAGGTGCTGATCGTGTCTGAAGATCCTGCCCTCCCCTATATGCGTCCACCTCTTTCCAAAGAACTGTGGTTTTCAGATGATCCAAATGTGACAGAGACTCTGCGATTCAAGCAGTGGAACGGCAAGGAGAGGAGGTATGTGTCGCTTACTGGTAGCCAGGGTGAAGGAGAGTGTTTAATGAAGAGCTGACGATGATCAGGCTGTTGTGAGAGAGCCACTGCAGAGCTCTGGAGGACCCCGGAGTGCTGTGTGGGCGAATCACGGGGTAGATTCCTGTGGTCGTGTGGGCTGTGAGAGAGCCCTGTGGCGTGCGAGTGCCGGTGTGCGGTGTGGCTGGGCGGATGGAAGGAGGGACAGCGGTGCGTGCTGCGTGCGGAGCTCGTGTGGTGGTTTGTGCTGGACCAGCTGACTGGAGGAGCCGCCGAGAGCCCGCGGGGCAGGCTGCGGGCCTGTGGAGCGTGGCTTCCCAGAGATGCTGAGGTGTTGCAAACAGGTCAGTGGAGCTCTAAGGAGCAGGCTGGAAGGTGCGACAGCGCTGGCAGTCGCACACAAGAGTCAGCTTGGTGCTTGGTACCTCCTGAAGCTCGCTGCGATTCCCCTGGGCGTGCACTGGCAGAAATCCTGTGAAAGAAGTTAATAGCAAAGGTGGGGGTAGAGTTTCACAGTTTAGAGCAGAGCTCCAGGGACCCTGGGTCACATTTGATTTTTGTGATAAAGCCTTACCGATCTAAACCCTTGAACTTCAACAGTGTGAAGACCCTGATTCTTAAAAATAAGAATTCTGGAGCTTGTTATGGATGCATAGAGTAGTCTTTGTGTCATTGGTAATTGCTGAATAGCTGCTATCGCAGAGAAAGTGGAACGCATTTGATAATGGAGCTTTTTTCAGTATCTATTTCCAGCCGCCGTCGTTCTACGTGCCTGTTCGTGACCTGCCTTTTGTAGAAAACGGTGGAGTAGCAGTTCTCTCTGGCAAGAAGGTGGGTACGGCACGAGCTGCTGCTCTGGCGTCGCGCAGTGCTTCCCGAGCAGAGCCGGTGCTCCAGGCTGGAACTGAAGAGCTGTAGCTGGTGGTGTGGAGGGAGGGCTGGCTGAGGAGGAGAACCTCTGGGAGAAGGGTCTGTGATGAAGCAGGGACTGTGCTGATCTGAAGGACAGCATGAGTGACGTTTGAGAACGGGACAAGGTATGAGGAACAGTAGCGAGCTGAGGGAAGGGTAAGTCTAGAGTTTGGGCATGGGACAAGAACGTGTAGAGCTCGGAGACGGGGTGTGACGAAATGGGAAGCAGGCTATCTGCTGGTCAGAGGGTGAGGCAAGGGGAGCAGGGTGATCCGAGTACTGGGTTACAGTGGGAGCAAGAGCATCGTGCAGAAGCAGCAGGAAGGTGCACAAGTTTGTGGCGAGGCTTCTCATATATTTGCCTCCTCAGCTTTTTAAATGCTGCTAAAATAATATTTCGGTGACTCCTCTTACTGCTGAACTACCACGCTAGTGTCTGAGTCCGTTCCTTGGCCTCAGATCCTGGGAGAATACCCTGATCTATGATGGCTGCCCAAGAGTCTCAATTCCTACTTCCAGTCTTCTCCCATCCCCCTAAACGTAAAGGTGGGAGCGTGTGGCTTCCAGGCTTGCTCCTCGGATCGGTAGTCTGCGTGGTTTAGCTCCGACGGCCTGCGGTGCCTGGGAGCTGAGCTGCCCTGCCTGTTGAATTTTGCAGGTTGTGCACATGGATGTCAGGGGCAACACAGTGAAACTGAGTGATGGGACCCAGATATCCTACGACAAGTGTCTCATTGCCACTGGTAGGTTGTTGGGTTTTCTCTCTTTGTTCTTTGTCTGGTGCCAGGCTTTTTCTTTCAGTGGCATTTACCCGACAAGGAAGTTTCTGCGGTATGCGTCAAACACTTGGTAGAGCAGTCGCGTGCAGGACAGTCGCACAGACAGCCCCGCCGTTGGGTTTTTCACCTGCGCCCGCAGGACATTCAGGGTTTTGCCCTGTGCCAGTCAGCGGGGAAGGAGGGAAAGGTGGCTTCCCTCGCAGCTGGGTGGAGGAACTCCGGTACAGGCCAGGCTCTTCAAACCCTGCCCACAGCAGCAGCCAGCTCGTGCTTGGGCAGAGCCCTGCTCCAGCATCTGCCGCTGGCAGTTCCGCAGCCCTCTGCGGTGAGTTAGAGTGGCACTGGCTGTCTCCAGTCTGCAGAGCAAGGTGTGCAGCATTAGAGCTTCTTACCCTGGCTGTTGGGTCAGCTGCTGCTCACACAGAAGGTCTCTCAACTTCAAAGCCCAGACAGCAACAGGGAGTAGAGCGTATCGTAACAGTTTAGAAAGCCCAGTCCAGGTTAACGATGGCTTTGCGTTGTCTGGACAGCCAGTGACGTGGCCGTGGTATCACGAGTCTCTCTTTCTCTCTCTCTCTCCCCGCCCTTGTCCTCAGGTGGCTCCCCGAGGAACCTACCCGCCATCGAAAGAGCAGGGAGAGATGTGCAGCAAAGGCTGACGCTGTTCCGGAAGGTAATCTCCAGGTGCTGCTGGTGCTGGGGTGAGAAACATCAGAGCCACTGCCGCTCTTTTCAGCTTTTGAACTCCTCTGCTTCGGGTCCGGGACAGCCTTGCTGTGGCAGCTGCTTCCCTCGGCTGGTAGCCAGGAGCCCGTTGGCTATGCAGTCCTGTTCCCCAGGCAGGGAACAGGGGAGAGTCCACCAGAACACTCACCCACTTGCCTCAGGCCTGAGAGCTGTGATAATCTGCGCTTAAGTTTTTTAAAAGCACGAGCACGGTAGTGCGGGCTGTGAGCAGCGTGTGCCTTCGGGAAGCTGGCGTAGGACTCTGGCCTGGCACCCTCTCGACGCGGTGTGCGCCGCAGTTGTGCAGCACGTGGGCACGAGGTCGGCCTTGGGCGTGAGGCCGGGCCGAGACTGCTCTCGTGCTCTGAAGTTTTACCTGAGTGTGAAGCTGGGTGTTCACGTTAGCCCGTGGATTGGCTTAAATAGTTTGCTAATGAGCTAATAAACCGATACCCATGCCTCCTTCGTGGCACTTCTTCACCCCCCATCCTGTGCCTTGGGACAAAGTGAACGCAAGCCATGGAAGCTGGTCAATGGTCTTCTGGTTTTCGCTGTAGAGTTGCTTTTTGTTAACGTACCCGGCTTTCTTGAAAACCTGGGATTTAGAGCAGGCACGCAGCCTTCTCCTTGGTCCTGTTCAGGGGAGGAATCGGGAACGAGAAGCCACATGGGAAGTGTCTGCTTTGTGCTGGACTTCCCAAAGGTCTGGTCTCTCAACGGTGGGAAGGGAAAGATGGGAAGTAGCACTCTCTGTGCTGCAGTGCCTTCGTGTCTAGAAACTTTGTTGCAATTTCTCTTGAAATTCGGGGGAGAATGCAGGAATCTGAGAGTTCCTGGACAGGGAACAGCTTGCACAAACATTAGGAAGCCAGAGGGTTTCTTCTGTGCAGTAGATGAACAGGAGGAAGGAGAAACAGATTTCCCTTTCTGGCTTGGGGAGAGAGTTGCTCTGATTTCAGAGGGAGAAACTGGAGAAAAATATCTTCTGCTGCCATTCCTCTTTGAGGATATTTGAAATGGGAATAAATCTTCTTTCAGATTGAGGACTTCAAGAATCTGGAGAAGATTTCAAGAGAAGTCAAGTCCGTCACGATTATCGGCGGTGGCTTTCTGGGCAGCGAGCTGGCCTGTGCTCTGGGAAGACGAGGTGAGTGTGCTGCTGCGGGCAGCTGGTCTGCAGCCGCCGCCTTGACAGCAGTGCGGGACGTTGGGCGTACGCAGCCTGGCATCACAGGCTTCCTTTTCATGCCCCAGCTGGTGAGTTTTCGCACAGACTTGTGGTTTGCCTGCAGTAACCTTGACGCACGGGGGTGGTGTTGGCTGTGTGGCCTGGCCTGCTTTCCCGTTTTCCCTCTCATTAGCTGTCGAGCAGCCCCTGACCACGAAGGTTTTTGTAAGTTGGGCTCCCTGGACGCTCTGCAGGCCAGTGCGTGTTGCCCAGTCATTCCACCCTGTAAAAAGTTACCTTTGCTCTCTCCATGCTAAAAGCCACCCTAGAACACTTGTTTCAGAGAGGTTGTGAACAACTGGATTTGGCAGTCAAGGGCCTGCAGCTTTCCGAGTAGTGTCTTGTGGTGATTTCTGTAATACGGGAGGTTTTCTCCAAAACACTAAGCGTTCTATGCAGAAGTCTGCTGCCTGTTGTCCCAGTGTCTGCCAGAACCAGTGGTCACTCACTTGGTGACTCCTGTGGAAAACCTGGGAGCCAGAACTCCCCGTTTTGGAGACTTCTGTCAAGCTCCTTGCCTAAAGTAAAGCACGTGCTGGTGTCCCCAAGCCTGTGCTGCTGCTCTCTGTCCGTGGGTTGTAAGAAGCCTGCTCTTTGCTTTCCTTCCAGCACGAACCAGAGGCCTGGAGGTGATTCAGCTCTTTCCAGAGGGCGGCAATATGGGCAAAGTCTTGCCAGAATATCTGAGCAACTGGACCACGGAGAAGGTCAGAAGAGGTGAGGCTGCGTTTGGGTGCTGCTGCTCCGCGAGGGGCAGAGCTGTGGTGTTCAGGCCAGTGGCTGCTGTGTGGCTCTTCCTCGTGGAAGACATTTCTCTGTGTGATCCATCAGCGGGGCCGCGGGCAGGCCGGGTCCCTGCCGTGGTGGCCCAGGGGCAGAGCAGAGCAGGTGGTGGTTCAGGCAGCTTGGGTAGCACAGAGCTGCCCTGATCTCTGGCTTCTTAGCAGTTCCTCTGGGAACGCCGAGCAATTACGTACGCTGATGCCGGTGAGATTCTCCCTCTGGCTGTTCCTGCACGGAGCGATCCCTGCGAGCATACTCACGAGTTTAACGGCCTCTGTAGTCTGGAGCCGAGGCTGTGTTACGATAACTGCCTGCTCTCCTCTTCTGAGTGGCCCTAGCCTCGAATAATTGCACTGCCGACAGCCTGCCGCGTCAGCCTAGAGCCCCTCCGAGAGAAGGGCTGTGCAGCCCCACGCCTGGTGCGTACGCCGTCGTAAGGCAGCTGCTGCGGTGTGTGGCCGATAAAAGCCGGCAAGACCCGAGATAACCTTTTCTCCATTCAGTGCAGGATATATTGCTGTGCGTGGGTAAGTGGAGTGGGGCTGGAGGGAGCAGGGATACGGCTGGGGCTGCAGACTGCGGGGCCTGGCAGCCCACAGGTCCGAGCAGCGTTGTTTTGTCCATGGCAGCTGCCTTGTCGGAGCTCTGGGTCTGGCTGTGACAGGGCACGGGGTAGCTGAACGTCCCTGGTGCCTGAAAACCTGCCTGGGGGAGCTCGCTGGGGTCATCGTGTGAGACGTGTACTTCTGATCGGCCTTTAAGTCGCTCTTTCAAACTTGTTAGCTGGGTTTCTTTCTCCCCATGCTTCACTCAAAACTGCGCTGGCACAGGCAGCGAGAAACGAGGGTCTCCCTCAGCTCCTGACCTGGCCCCTGCTCTGCCTGCGTCCTGCTGCCGCTGAAACCGGTCTGGCCCCGAGCAAGCAGGC